CCTGTAGGGTAAAACTCCAACAATAAAATTATAGGATCAGTTCTAGAACAAATAAATGCACACTAATAGATATAGTCAAATTCACCTCTATAAAGTTTCCCTCTTTGATTGTTAATGATTTACTGGAGGCATTCTTGTGAGGGACAGAGTGATGATTTTGTGAACTCTTAACAACAAGCAGTATTAAGACCATGTTGATTTCTGCCAATTTGATATACACAGATATTCATACATACAATCACTGCTTTGTTGTGTTTTGTTTGTTGTTACTGTTCTGAGACAAGGTGTCACTGTGTAATCCTGGCTGTTCTGGAACTTGCTGTGTAGAATAGAGCTGCCCTTAGATGTGCAGTGATCTTCCCACCTCTACCTCTCATGGGCTGGGATTACAGGCATGTACCATACTACTGTTTTGAGTTGAATTTCTTTAATTTGTAGCACTCTTGTAAATTGTTTTTCATATGTGCATTTCCTTCTTTTCATGCGTTACTTATTTATGGTTTTCTATTGCTGTTTGTCTTTTATCTTATTTCTAGAACATTGTATAGTGGGAATAGTAACTGCCACATATATTTCTAGTTAGTACTAAAATTTTTAAATGTGTATGTAACCAGGGGAACAACCTTATCTTTATCACTTGTGGGTTTCATGTGATGCCTTCTAGATTATTAAAAAAATCCAACTGTTTTATTCAAGTGCTTTTAGTAGTTTTATGCTCCATAATTATATCTGTTTATCTGGAATATATTTTGTTGAAGGGAATAAGGCCCTGGCAATGATAAGATTTACTGAATTTCCTGCATGTGGTCTCTCATATTCCCGTTTAATCCTCATGCCCACTCTATAAAATAGGCTATTCCATTCTCATTTACAGAAGAGGAAATTTCACCTTTGAGGACTTAACTAAGTTGCCTTTGGTTACACAGAAGCTAAATGCTAACAGTCTAATATTTAATTCTTAGAGCTTCCTTTTCCTACAAACACCCACGTTATTGTTCCAGTATTGTGAGTGGGAATAATATTTTTGAATTAAATTTTGGATTTTCTGAAACGATTCAAATACCACGATTAACATATATGAAATTCCTGTATCTCTTTTGATTAAGAATATTCCTTGGATTTATGGTTTCCTTTTTTTTTCTTCATCTACCAGTTAGAGACTCAGCATTTATTTAACTTATCTGTTTGCTTATTTATTCATTCATATTTTAGTTTTTTGACAGACTGTCTCCCTGTATTCCCAGCTGGCCTGGAACTTGCTACGTAGACCAGACTGACCCTGATCTCACAAATATCCACCCACCTCTGCCTCCCGAGTGGAGGCACCATGCCAGGCTAGAGACTCAGCTTTAACTCTAATTGATGCCACATGTCCAGAAATCTTTAACTGTACATTGAACTTTCCATGGCATCTGTCCTGGTAGTAGAGCTTTAGGAAGAAGAGAATTGGAGGGAGTGTAAGTGATTGGTCCTATGTAGTGATGATGAGGCCCCTTCAAAAGGGCTCCCAAATCTGAATGGCAGTGCCCTTGAAAAGAGTGGACAGCTGAGTATGAAGATGGTGGAAGACCTCCTGCAACCGGCATGCCACTCTGTAGTGCAGCATAGACTCTTGTGATTGATTTCTAGTTTTTCTGTGTTGATATTGGAAACAATTTTGGTATGATTTCAATTTTTAGAAATATCTTGAGACATGTGGTCTAGTATATAATCTCTCCCAGAGAAGGTTCCAATTCTAAGAATAGAACTGTCATAAACTCACACACCCAGGCACGTACCTTTCATGAATGGCTTCCTTCTTTAAAATAACATTTGCATATGTCAGTGGGTCACCCAGTCAGTTTTTGGAGAATTGGGCAACACACTCAAGTTTGGGGAAGCAAATGACTCTTGCCATTGCTGTGTCTCATGAGGATTATTTATGGTGGAGAAACTTCCCAGGAATAAATGTTTTAGTCATGGCTGAGCAAGAAGCGCTGGGAAGGGAAGGCAGACTGTATGTCCTTTGGAAGTTGTGTTTTATTTCACATGTAGTATTCACACTGAAGGACATTCAGAGGCTCTTCACCGAGAATCAGATTTTGAAGATAAGATTTGAAGTTAAATGAGTAGTCATCCCCCAGCCCCCCAAGAGTGCCGAAGATGATGAATTGAGTAAATATTTGGCAAAAGTAAAAAGCCTTGAAAAGGAATCAATTAGTTTTTTCATTAAAATAAGTTGGAAACAAAGAAGAGAGAGTAGGAAAAATCGGTACCAGTTTTCGTTCATTTTCCAGGTGTTTCTGGGCTGGCAACCATATCCTGGATCTCTGATTGACAGTGAGTGTAAAATGTGCACCCATCCTCCAGTGGCACATAGTTCTTTTTGGAACTGATATGATCTGGGAAAGAACAGATTTGGAGGAAGGACTCAGTGGTGCAGACAGACACACTTCCCTGATTTCCTTTTCTTACTGGAAGTTAAAAGTGGAGGTCCTGCTTGCTGAGAGCTGTTGTGTTTCTGAGCCTGCCATGTGGGCAGCAGAGGTGCCTGTGCATGGTGTGCCATGAGCAATGGGGATCTTGGCTCCACAGGTAGGTACTGGCTTTCCAGCCCACCCCCACACAGCCTTCATCCTTGAGAGTGCTGGAAAGCTGACCATGGTGTGTGTGTGGGAGGGGCAGAGGGAAGTAGTAAAGGCTGTGGACTACCCAAAGATTTGAACTTGGACTTTGTCTCCTTTCTATCTTTATTCCTTGCCTTGGCAATCATCTAGTCCCATGTGTACCTGGCTTTCTTCTACTGAGGGACAGGAATTCTCTCCAAATTGTGTATTCATCTGGTGACTTGAGGTTTCCTCTTTCTGGTCAACTAAGCATCTCAAACTTCTGTCTCAAATTGAACTTTTGATAGAGGCCTGCCAATCCCTCCTGCCCAGTCTTCTGCTTTGCTATATAAATGGTGATACTATTCTTCAAAGGGCTTGGGTCAGAATTCCTGATGTCTCATTTGGTCACTATGCCATGCCTTGTCAGCTCTATCTTTAAAATCTCCCCTCCCTGCTACCACCCCTCACTACCTCCACAGTGAAAACCCTGCCTTAAGCCCTCCATTTTCTCTTGGACTGTTGGCTCTGACATCCCAGCTTCTGTCCCTCTTTCCACTCCTGCCCTTCCAATTCCTTCCTCATCTCCAAGCTCTAGTCTGTGTAATTAGCCTACGAGATTCCTCTGAAAAATCTTCCAGTGCTTCCAATCTAACTGTTGTCATAGCCCAAGTTGTTCAAATGTCATGCCTGCTCCTTCTGTTTTGTTCTGTGCAGCCTTCCATCTTACCCCTGGCTTCCCCCCTTATGCTCTCCCCCCAGCACATCTGCCTCCTAGTTGGTCCCTGAGTCTGCTGGGTACTCCCCCACCTCAGGGTCTCACCAGGAAATAGATAGAAGCTGCCATCAGTTGCCAATAGTTCTCAGGCAGGGTTGGGGTTTCTTACCCACTTCCCCATTTCTATGCTGGGATTTTTTCTGGTTTGAGCTTGCATAGAACTTGTACACGCTGTCACCATTGCTGTGAATTTATATGAGTAATTGACAAGATGTGTAGAAAATTTCTTAGTGGTGGATACCTCCTCTGGCTCTTATGATTTTTCAGCCTCCTCTTCCACAGTGAGTTTTAGGAGGCAGAGGTTTGATGTAGGTGTCCTTTTCAGGGACAAGCAGTCTTCACCCTCTAGGAGACTCAATCTCATTTAAGGGTGAGGCACTTGATGGTTTGATTAGGCTCCAGCGAATGAAGCTATAATGAAGAGCATTTGGGGGACACAAACCTGTGTCTATAGGCTTTAATATATATTTATATATACTTATAGGGGGTAGTAAGGGAGGATACAGAGGGGATCTAAATATGGCTAAAATTTTTTGTATCAAATTCTCAAAAATTCAACAAAAAGGGAAAATCCATATTAATTTAAAAAAGAAACAGGCAGCACCTTCAGACTAGGGTTTTATGAGAAGTGCATAATGCTGTCCCCCAGGGCTTGTGAGTTAGTGATGTCTATTTCTCCACATGTTCATCTCTGGCTGTTGTTGGGATAGTTTTTCCTGTGGGGCTTCTGACAGAGAGCTCCATGGAGTCTCTTGAGATGTTCTAGCTGCCAACACCCATTCTGCACATTTTGAGGAACTTTACTCATTTTGCCTAGAGGATTTCAAATGACAAGTAGGACTCGGACTCCTGCTGCCCGTGATCCTCAGCTTGAGGGTGGTGGTTGTTCAGTGACACCACTAGAAGTAATGCAGTCGTCTCCTCCATCTGCAGGGAGCACATTCCACACCACCAGTGGGTACTCCAAAGGAATGATAGAGCTGACTTTGTATGTACTGTCTTCCCCTGTACAGTACATGACAGCATAATAAGACATGTAAAGTAAGCCATTAACAATGATAATAACAGCACAGACTATTGATAACAATAAACTGTAGCAAAAATTATTAAAACTTACTGGGCCAGCAAGCTGATTCATCGGGTAAGGGCACTTGGTGCCAAGCCTAATGACCGAGCTAGATTCCTGGAATCCATATGGTAGAAGCTGTCCTCTGGTCTCCACATGCACACCATGACATGTGTGCTCTTAAATAAAAAAATCATATAAGAACATTTAAACTTTCTAATTCTTTATTTCTGGAATTTTCCCTGTCTTATTTTCAGACTGTGGTTGACTGTGAAGAAGCAAACCTGAGAGAAGTGAAACAGCAGGGAGGGGACTACTGAAGCCACTGAACTGAGGTGCTGATCGTGACCACCGAGTTACAACTTGCCTGGCAAGTATAAAGCTGTGTGCCTAAGAAGGAAGACCACAGGAAGTCAGGAGGAGGACCACTGACATCCTTTCCCAGGATTCACAGCCCAACAAGTGTGAGAGAGCAAGAGGGCGGGAGCTCCCAACACCACCATCCTGTGATTGCTAAAGACTCTCCTGTCATACCCAAATGGTGCTCCTTGATGAATACGCATATTTTCCACTTATGTTACCTGATGACTTTTAGTCTCTAATTTCTACTTTCTATTAAAGGGCAGGTGGCTTCTGATTTTCAATACTATTTCTGCACCTATGATTTTTGTCACATGTACAATATTTAGCTTCGTGAGGAAACTCCATGTATTTGGAAACATTTTAAATAGTTCTTCCATGAAGAGAATGTTTGGTGGTGTTCTCAGCAACTTTGTAATTTTCTGCTTTCAAATGTGCTACGTGAAATGTCCTTCCCACGGTGGCCATGGCCATTCTGAGGGCAGATCAAACGTGAGGAAACTGTGATGCTGTACCTGGACCTAGGCCAGAAGGGGCCCTCGGAACAGTGTCAGACTCTTCCTTCTGGACATCTTCCTTTACTTTCTTAGGTTCAGAACCTGCACTCTTTCCTGTTAAATAGGCAGTCCTCTGGCTTTGAAAATTAGTTGGACTATGAAGGTTTAAGTAGAGATAGGGAGAAGGTATGCATGGAATGGTATGTGCCGAAAGTAGAAAGTAGCAGAAAACAGTGCTGACAGGAAAGGGACCGAGGGCTGTGCTGAGCAGGCCGGCCTGCTTCCTCAGTGGTCTCCTGTGCAGGCAGTGTCGACCATCATAGAGTCATTTATCTGTGCAGCTTACCCCATTCCTGTCTTTGCTGTGGTTCCAACTGACCTGTAAAACACATCTGAAAATAAGCAGAGAGCATAATGGTGGAAATTGATAAACTGGCTCATCAAATTTCTAGATTTGGATGAAATCTGGGCACGTAGACAAAAGCAAAAATTGGCTTTCTATGAATTGTGCTGTGAGTCTCTCTAGTGACTCAGAGACCTAAGTAGAAAAGTGAAGATTAACACTTCCCCAGACTAACACACTTGTTCTTAAGAATGGAGTGGCCTTCCTGAGGTCATCATGCTGCACTCTTGCTGCCCTCAAATTGTTCTGGGATCAAAGCACTTTATGAATCAGTGAAGCTCTTGACCTGCAATTTTACAGCTTTCTTGGAAGGCAAGGAAAACCGGAAATTGTGCCTGACCGATGTCAAACTGTCTCCTGGTAGTGTATACTGATCCCTTTTCCCAGGTTGAGTTTCAGTGAAGGAGATAGGGAAGAATGGAGAAGCTCCGGTAGTTAATTTAAACTGAGCTCTTTTCAGACTATGATATTTGTTCTCTTCCTTTTTTTATTCTCAATTATCTATGTTTTAATTTTACATGTGTGAGTGTTATGCCTACATGTATGTAAGTGCACCTGTGTCACGTAGTGCCTGTGGAGGCTAGAAGAGGGTGTCAGATTTCCTGGAACTGGAGTTATGGATGGTTGTTAGCTGCCATGTGGGTGCTGGGATTCCAACCCAGGTCTTCTACAAGAGCAGCCAATGCTTTTAACTGTGGTGTCATCGCTCCAGTCCTCAGCATTTGCTCTTTTTCTAATCATCTTTTTATTTTCTTAATTTTTAACTTGTTTTCTGCTTTACTGTAACACTTTGCTTGGTTTGAACGACTTAAATGAATTGACCTGTCAATGACCTATTGCCACCAAGCCTCAGTTTGCCACCAAGCCTCAGTAGCACACAACACGGAAGTCTTCATGATTCTCAGTTCTGGGTTCGGTGACTCCTGCCTGGGGCAGCTCAGATGAAAGCTGACACAGAGTCCGCCTCATGCCCTGCTCATTTTCCTGGCTCTAACAGAGTAACCCAAAATTATTTTCTTCCTATCAAAGGTGGAAAACAAGAGTGAGAAGAAACACCCAAGGCCCCTTGAGGCCTAGGCTTCTGACTAACACATCGTCAGTTGTGTCTCATTTATGACCTAAGAAACCATTTCGTGGGGCAGTCTCCCTGCAAAGGTGTAGCAGAAGAGGCTTGGATGCAGGGAGAGGAGAAGCATCCCATCACGAGAGCCCTTAATCCCATCATGGACCACAACTGGTCCAAGAAACTGACCAGAAGTTAAAGCTAAATAAAATTTTCCTTCTTGTAACTTATCTTTTTCAGAAAATCAGAACCTATGGCTTTCTCTGTGGTCCTTCAGAAAGCATTCCTCTTAGCTTTGCTGTCCTTGAGGGCTTACCAAAATGAAGGTAAGTTCTGGAAACAGCAGCAAAGAATATTGAAGATGAACCAACTGGTACTTGGGAAAATAGTTAAGCAATTCTCTTTACTTGGGAGTTAACAAAGAACTCACATGAGATGTGTGAGCTGCCTTGAGTGTGGCCTCCCTCATCCTGATGGTATGTTTAATGGGCCACTCCTTAGTCCCAACTTTTTGGTGAGTGGTCTGCTCATTGGAGAGGTCAAGAATGAACCAGAGCCCACAGAGCTTCATGATGGCTGTGTTTTACCAGGAATGCTGCTGAAGTAGTTCCTTCCACACCCAGCTGGGAGAGGACATGGAACATACCAAATTAGTTTTGGCTTCTGAATTAGGAGAAATTGTCATGTGATGCCCCTCAGCTACATTTCCTTAAGACTTGTTGGGCCTGTAAAATAAGGCTGCAAGCAACGAAAGTTTGTGAAGCAATAGAAACTCACTTAAGTCTGTACAAGGTAATATCCTACATGCTGAAATGCTGTATATAGTTAGAGAAACAGTATTTGTTACTTACCTCTCCCCAACAGAGGGCACTTTGGAATAAATGGGATTTGTGAATGTGTATGGATATGGATAGACATTTTATCAGATATGCAGGGACACTTCGCTACTTTGAACTTATTTAAATACAGATTCTTAGATTTAGAAAGAGTTCTTATTAGTTCATAGACTTCTACTGCATTCATCTGTATTTTACCAAGCTTTCCATTCTCTTCTTCGCCTGTTTAGTCTTTGCTGTACTCACTTTGTGACAAAGAATACACATGTATGCCTTTCAGAATCACCCACCCAAGTCCTGTTCATGGATTCATGAAAACATGTTTGCAAGGAATATGCACATCATCTCTTAGAACTGTGAGAAAAGATGATGTGGGACAAGGAAGAGATTTAGTTCTGCTAATACTTCAGTTTCTGCCTCATATCTTTTAGACCTAGGTTTGTTTTTGGTCTAGGGTGCTTGGGAATGTACTATTTTTATAGCTTCTTAAATATCAGCTTGTTGAGCTGTGGCTGTGAGGTGACTAGGCTTTCTTACCAGGAGCATGTGAGGCTCTCTCTCCCTCAGTGTGTTTTGCCTGTTGGAATCTAAATACATGGTAACTGAGTGGAGAGCCTGAGGATAAAGAGTGTTCCCTGCTGACCAGAGCCCCTGATTCTGAGACAGTCCACTTCCCCAAGTCCTTGTACTCAGGCACTCCCGAGCATTCACTGCAAGCTTTTGCAGTCTTGTTTTCCTAGTGTAGTCTCATCATCTCGTAGACCTCTCTCTCCACGGTATGCTTTCTGCATGTTAGGTACTCTGTGGCTCCCTTCTCAGCTTGTGTTCTGACCAATCCTGAGTTTCTCTAATTTCCTACCACCCCATTTTCCATTTCTACTTCCAGCCTTCCCCACAGGCCTTCCTTGGGGTCTTTCCCTTCACCTACAATGTGAGGACTTCCTTCACTGCTGTCTTTGACCAAACCTCCACTCAAACTAGTTGGCTTGTGACTTAACCAACCAGCCAGGTTCAGGTTAGAGACTGTATTTCAAATAACCTTGCCTGACTTCTGAGCAATAAGGTGCAGGCAAGACCCTTCAGTTAACCCTGGGTGCATTTCCATCAGCCAGAAGTATTGACTGAAACATTTTGATGTATCTTCATGTCTTTGGGTGTATATACACACAGATAGATGTAAATATGTGGGTTTTTACGTATTTATTTACTGTGTGTGTGTGTGTGTATGTGTGTGTACATTTTTGTCACACTCATTCCACAGTGGATGTATGAAAGTTAAAGGACAGCTTCTGGAAGTTGGTTCTCTTCTTCCACCATATGGGTTTCAGAGATCTAACTCAGGTCGTCAGGCTTGGCAGTAAACACCTTTACCCACCGAGCCATTTTGCCAGCTTCTAATATGTGCTTTAATAAAGGGTAAATCATAATTATGTAGAGAAACATAATTGTATGTGTGAGTATATACACACAGAGTATAATCTGTATCTATCTCCAAGAGTTCTTTTCTTAGCTTCAGTAATTAATAAAAACAGGATAAGCATCTCTCTTTGATGTTAAATGCTGTAGGATCATGTTGTATTATGGACTGCATAGCATTCCATACTGGGAATGGATCACACATTAGTTCCTGCAGCAGCATTTGGGCTGGCCAGAGAAACTTGGAGGGGAAAGTGAGAGAGGTGTTTGTGGCTAAGCCCAGGCCCGAATCTCCAGCTGGCCTCTTTGGCCACACGCCAGGGTCATAGCATGGAGCCAGAAGTCTGGGTCTGTTCTGGTATGTGACATTGACACAGTCACCCATTCCTTATTTTAAGCTCATTTCCTGTTTCTGAAAATTCAGTGGTGTTGGATTTATTAATCCCATGGTCCCTGTGGTTTTGCTGGCTTTGCCTTGGCATTTTCTTATTTTTTGCCATATTCTTTCTGACTGATTAACTCAAGTACTGCAGTCATTCAACACACACTGATAATATATGTTAGTGTAAATCACTCCTTTTTCGTTAAAAGCAGCATATGACAACTTTGTAGAGCTCCCAGAAACAAAGTTAGGTGGGTAGTTGACTCATTCATTCATCAGCTGATCATGGAATGTCTACACTCACAGTGTATTGTTAGTCCTGATTTCCCTGAGCTAAGTAAGACTTAGTCACACCCTTGTTTATGTCACAACCACAGGAGACAAACAGCCTGGTACTGCCTGTTGTGATCAGTGCTCCAAACCACGGGTGAGAAAATCCATGGAGGAATAGTATATTCTGAAGTGTTCCTACAGTACAGGGAACCAAATACCTTTTTAAAAAAAATTATTTATTTAGTAACCACATACTTAGAAGAAGCATTTCATTACATTGGCATTGACATATTCAATAACAATTTTCTGAGCTAGGCTGCATCTCTTACAAAATTGGCTGTACATTTTTAGGTTTACAGTTGAATTATTACAGTTATACAATATTGTACTCAGTATAAACCCTATAAGACATAAAATTGAATG